GCCTAGACACTTTGAATCTTACGCGGGAGAAAACCCGAACAACCAAAGATCCACATACAAATACCCGCGAGAACCTCAGAAAACATATATATATATATATACATACTACATTTTTAAACTGGGTCAAGTTGTAATTTGAAAATTGATTTGTACAGACTTGAACAGAATTGGAACCCTTACGTGCAATCAAGTAACATTCAGTTTACAGCAATACAAGCAAAACAAAAGTTTTTGAAGTCCAACGAACTGTGTATTTTTCTATAAATAGTTTCCAGAATTCTGCAATCACTTGCTTCCTGTTCTGTTGTGGAACAAAGATGGGCTCGAAGACTGGAGTTGAATTCAGCTCTTTATTAAGCGTAACTTCAACTAAACTTGAGGCGCGGCAGCCTCTTTTATAGCGGCTGCTCGCGGCTCACGGCCAATGGCATCGTTTTAAACTTCCCGCCGTTGGCGGACCAATTGCAACTGTTGTTAAACCGCCAATCGCTAGGCGGCAGTGGTTGTCCAATAGGAATGTGGTATTGCAAATGTCTATATACAACACTTCCAAAATAGTTTTATATCCGTAATATGATCAGATCCATACATACATGATTCTCACATATGACATTGTCACAGAAACTGCATTGGTCATGCTTTTTTATCTCTGGCAGGAACAAGATGGGGGTAGTGCTGAATCCTGGCAAGACTGAGTGGCTTTGGATTCAAGGTTCCTTGGTCCATGGAGAATTGCCACCATTGGTCTTGGATGGGGTGGCATTAACCCAAACAGACCCAGTGCATAATGTGGGGGTTCTCTTGGACTTGCAACTCCTGCTCAAGGAGCAGGTGATAGTTGTGGCCAGGAGGCCTTTGCAAAACTGCAGGCTGTGTGCCAGTTGTACCCTTCCCTGGACCAACAATCTCTGCTCACAGTCACTCACACCCTAGTGACCTCCTGTCTACAATGCACTCTACATAGGGCTTCCCTTGAAAAGCATCCACAAGCTCCAGTTGGTTCAAAATGCAATGTCCCGCATGGTTTTGTGCAGATCCAGGTGTGCACACGTATCATCTCTCCTTCAAGAGCTGCATTGGCTACTGATTTGCTTCCAGGTGCAATTCAAAGTGCTGGTTGTCACCGGGGTGGAATTCAAAATTTTTTCCCAGCAGCTCTGTGGGTGTGGCTTGGTGGTCATGTGACTGGGTGAGCGTGGCCAAGTCAACATCACTTGGCCTCTCTCGTCTCATCTCTCTCTTTCTCCTCATTTCTCCCTCTCTCATCTCTCTCTGTCTCCCCCTCTCTCTCACCTCCCTTTCTCTCTCTCTCTGATACTTTTTCTTGGGGGGGCGGGGAAACGAAGGTTTTGTGCTAAGTAGCAACTGCTGCTTGATTGAAGAAGGAGGGGGTGAGGAGGGTCTCTGGCAGGAGGAGGAGAAGCGATTCCTCCCCCCCATCTCTTCCCCCGCCCCGTCCTCACTGTACAGCACTTGGTGGTTTCAGGGCTGAAAGAAAGTCATGACAGGCAGGGGTCCCTCTGGTGCCTTCTCCATTGCCCAAGCTCCTGGTGGTTGAGTCAGCCAGGCCAAGTGGGCTCAAGCAGTCCCAATGGATTGGCTCTCCCCCCAGTTGCTGTGGAAACTGTCGGCTGGGCTCTCCTTACAGGCCGCAAAGCACTCGCCGTCACTCTGGCACCTGGCAAGTCTTCTCCTTCCTACTGGGCATGTGAGTGCTTCTGGCGAGGAAGAAGCAAAGCGCACTGGGGAGGAGGCTTGGCAGGTGCCAGAGGGGCGGCGAACACTTTGCGGCTCCTGAGGGTGGGTGTGGGAGATTGCACCCTCCCCTCACAGGCCGGGGAACACCTGGGAAGGGCTCTGGTGCCGTGATCTCCCGCATGCTACGCTCCCTTCCCACGCGCATCAGTCCACCTGCTGCTGGTATCATCCCTGCTGCCAACACAGGTGCAACCGGGTGGGCATGGGCGGGGCCAACCAGGTTCAGTTCACTCAACTGAACCCAATCATCCCTATCACCTCATGCGAGATGGTTGAATTTCACCCATGGTTATCACCTTTAAACCCTCTCCTGGCTTGGGATCACATTATCTGAAGAACCATCTCTTCTTGGTTATATCCACCCATTTCACTAGAGCAGAGAATGTTGTGGGTTCTGCCTCCTTAAGGAGGCACTTCTGATGGGACCCAGAAGAAGGACCTTTTCCATGGTGGCACCCTCCCTTTGGAACATCGTCCCTTCAGAAATTAGTCTGGCCCCCACTTTGCCACTCTTTCTCAAGCCCCTGAAGACCTTGTCCTGGTGAACCCAGGGTGGATTAGTGTCTATCAAGTAGCTCATTTGATTCCTGGTTGTCACCAAGGGGGTGATGGGGGGGATTATTGTTTTTATTCTTTTTATACTGGTGTTCTTTTTAACTGTTTGTAAGCCATCCAGAATCGCTAAACATACATATCTGAGCTCAACTGGAGCCTCAGATGTTTCTATCAGAGAGGTTGCGAAGGAGGAACTCATAGAATCATAGCTTGGAAAGGATCTTGGAAATATTTTATCTAACCCTTGCTCAGAGCAGAAATCCTCAGGCCTTCCAGACTAATGGCTGTCCTGCAGGGATGGAGTACCTGGGACTGTCCAAGATGCAGGTTGTTTAATCTGGCCAGGAAATACCTCGTTTTCCATCCAAAGGTTCTTGCCTTACCCTTGGGCATTATGGAGAATAAATCTGTATCCTCTATGGCAGGGGTCCCCAACCACCGGGCCGCGGACCGGTACCAGTCCGTGGAACATTTCCTACCGGGCCGCCGGTTTGCTAGGCGCCGCCATCTTGTTTGACGAGAAAGTGCTTCCAGGTGAGCTTTTCCGTTTGGAAAGCGGTGTTTGGGTCCTGAAGGAATCTTCGTGCCTTAGTTTCATCAAAGGGGGGGGGGAGG